GGGTTTTTTTTTTTTTTTTTTTAACTCATTGAGGCTTTCATACGATGGTGGTCAAGTTAAAAGAATGTATGATCTACAAGTCTAAAGTATTTGTTATCTGACCCTTTACGGAAAAAAAAAGTAAGGATGTTTATCTATTCTCTTTTCAGATAATAGCATCAAAATTTCTACCACAGTTCTCTGAAACCTTAACTTTCTCTAATTCATGACTTGATATGTACTGCTGAGGTGCCCTTTGAGTCCTATTAACAGTTAGCTTTACCTGCTGCTGTGTTCAATGACGTTTCCCATGTACAACATTAGATGGGGAAAGCTGTGAAGGTTAGCTTTAGATTAGCAAGGATGACTCCCATCAGAATTGCTTGCTATTTTTCTTAGATTGCTGTAAAATTACCATTTCGGAGTCACTGTGAGAGGCCTGACCCAGGCTGGATGCAGACCCTAGCTCAGAGTGAGAGGCTTGGTCAAGGGAGAGATGGGGCTCAATTATGTCATCGTAATCATCTTCCTCTGTGTCCCCCTCCCCATCGGCAAAAGTACCTCTAGTCAAGAAATCGGAGCGCGTCCGCGCCATTCGAGCTTTCTTTTTATGGGCCGGTCTGGCAACCTGCTTGACCAAATGATAAAACAAATAACACAACAATGTTTTGTTTTGGTTTTTTGGAGAAGATGTGAATGAAAGAGGACTCATGAATTTCCTGAAACATCCCTTCCACCCAACACGACCTTTCCATTAGTAGAAGTAACAGGGACGATGAAAAGAAATCCATATATATTACTCTGGACAAAGGTTAAGAATAAAAGCTAAAAATCTATATCCTACTTCTCCATAGCCAAATAAGCCACCCTTCCTTGCCATAACAGGTCACACTAAAGTCACTTGAATAAACTGTGTTTTTAGCTAAGCATCTTCTTTTTTATAATCATAATCTGATTTTTAGGCACCACTCCTAGAGTATACCTTCCTAATTTTAACAGGTCTAGCTCATGGTTTCTTTCTCTAAAAATACTTAGTTATAGATAAGGTTTTGTTTTCTATCTACAAGAAGAGTAATTCCAAAATAACATGCACCTACTTCACACAGAAGATAAACAGATCCAGTACTTACCTCTCTCTGGCCTGGCCCAGCTACCTTCACAGGTTTCCAAGCTGGTTCATCTTGTTTATGGACTTGAGGATTTCTACTGCTTAAGGCTTCCTTGTTGACACTTTAAAACAAGATTATATTTCAATTACTAGTAGATATTCCACAGAAGCAGTTTTAAAATACAGCATTAATTATAGTCTACCAACTCAAATGAAAGAATTCCAGAAAATTCTATACATATTTCTAGATCTTGGTCAATTCCCAAACAGTAAATTGGATATTTTTCTGCCTATCTAATCAATACTATTATCAAGAATCTGCATATATGACTGAATTCTTAGATGTTCTGCTCTGATAATTGCTGGATATACTCCACCTTGGTGACATAATAAGAACAGCAAATAAATTAATTAAAAATAATAGTTAAAAAAAGAATAGTAGCAGCAAAAGTAGCTCAGAACCTGAAGTGGATCTGATGATAAACAAAGGAAATCCCCCAAACTTTTAGAGTACTACGTCTTAGTAAGACTCTTTTCATCTAATAATAAGATACCTGATAAGCAGCCATCTAATTATGAGAACTTAATTTTTTTTTTTAACACTGAAATGGCTCCTGTTAGAAAAATTTGAGCTGCATATATGGCTCAGTGGCAGAGCATTGGGTTTGAATGCACGAAGCCCTGAGTTTGGTTATCAGTACTATAAAATACAATATTCAACACTTTGCCTCTGGGAACCTTTTTTTTTTTTTTAAAGCAAGTCACTTTTTCTAAATCTTTATAGTTTCTGTTTATTGTTTTATTTCTAAAACTCCAAGTTACTTAAACTAATAACAACGCAGAATAAGACACTGTTATCCAGCTAAAAGAAGCATGTTTCAGATCATACAGATGTTATAGTGTTGGGTTGTGAAACTTAATTTTGCTTGAATAATTGAATGATATAACTGTTGTATCATTAAATTCTGTGCAAAATGGATGTCAGGGTCTGATGACAATCTGAACATAACCTATGCTTTCAGGTCCCCAATGACCTAAATTAACTCATAACAAATGTTATCAACAATATACTGCCTATCCTTTCAATGAGATTATAAACTCTTTGAGAATCACACCTTACTTCTAAACATAGTACAGGTTGAAAGTAGACAGTAACGTATCATACTCATTAGTTGGTAGATTACTTGCTCTTTCATTCAAAAATCTTTTACAAATCTTTTAAAAATGAAGTCTGGGGGCCAAAGATCTTGCCCTATGCCCCATGCAATAGTCCCCAAACCAAACTAGCTAATGGACCTAACTAGCTAATGGCTTCTAGGAGACCTCCTTTTTTGACAGTGAGTGATCAAGCCAAAGAATCACAGGTTGTCCTAAAGGGCAAACTTTCAAGTCATTAAAATCTCTCTTGCCAATATCTCTCAACACAGCTGACCCTACTGGTCTTACACTCCAAAGAGAAAGAGAAAGAGAACAATTAATAGGACCTTTACTACCCAAAGTAACTTTAAAAATCACAGTATTTTCTTTATATTTCTATATGATTTACACTTCTTTTGTTCTTCATTGAACAGGTGAAGACCACTATGTATGCATCACCAATATATTACAGAAAGAACACTAGCCTAGTATTACTATCTAATTGTGAAACTCAAGTTCTAGTACCAATTATTTCTCTAAATATGTGACCTTGAATAATTCACTTCACTACTGTGGGCCCTAATATGTGAGAAACTGGACTAGGTAAGTCAGACACACCAATACACATGCACACACCATTTCACATCATTTAAACTCAAAGTAACAAAAGATATGTTTTTAACTTTCTTATTGGCTTATATGCTACACAGAGCCTCTAAACTTCTGGGCGATCTCTAGGTTAATGGGTAAGAATGGGATTTCAAGCTGTCATTAAGTTCAACTGCTGTCATTAAGTTCACAATACCGTAGAAACCTTCAGTGGGAAAATTAAATATAAGGGTCTCTTGCACATATTTGCAAAGGATTTTTATAAAATCTTTATGCAATTTCAGGCCCAAAAGATTTAAATGGTGACTACTAAGGAGAGAAAAGGGTATTTTCATTAATGTAAAAAATTTAATTTGTTGCCCTAAGGCACAGTCCGCCTTCCTTTCAACAGTGGCATCTCCCACAGACACTGAAACAATATACCATATACAAAGACAATACAAGCATCTTAAATTTATTCAAGTTGTTAGGTACATTTTAAAAATATTCTTCTGGGCTGGTATTTAGCTCAGTGGCACAATGCATGCTTTGCAAAATCCTGTGTTTAATACTAATGGGTGGGGAGGAGGGATTCTCATGACTACTACTAGCTAAAAAAGACCTTCAAGAACTTCCACTTATATATGGTATCTAAAATAGTCAAACTCTTAGAAACAGAAGGTAAAATGGTGGTTGCCAAGGGCTGAGGAGAGGGGAAAAGTGGTTTAATAGGAATACTATTCAGAGCTGCTGAACAACAATGTGAATAGGGTTAATACTACTGTTAATCATAACACTTAAAAATGGTGAAGATGGTAAATTTATGTAATGTATTTATCACATATTCTCTCTCCCATGCACGCATGAGCACGCACACAAACATATAAAGAAATAATGAAGGCCATAAATAGACCAACAATTGTGACAAAGGCATTGACTTCATTAAAGTCTGACACTGGCCAGCTTGTACAGCTACTCCTCACAGGTCTAGAAGAGCCTGCACATGCACTGGCTTCTCTTTACATACACTCTCTGACCTATTGGGGAAGAATCAAGAACTCTGCTATCTGAGCTCAGAGTCCTGGGATGCACCTACATCCAATTTCAGGTAGGGAGTATTTTTACAAAAATTAAATGGCAGAGCCAGGGATTTAGCTAGTGGCATGGCATGTGTCTTGCAAGCACAGGTCCTGAGTTTGATCTCCAGTACCAAGAAAAAAAAAAAACAAAACAAAACAGAAAAGAAAATGGTTAATTTGAGCAGTACTCACATAAATAAGTAGAGTAGAAAAGACAACTTCATAAAATACTCCAAGATTTCTCAAAAAAACTGAAACTAGAGTTCCTTCTGACCTAACTATACCTCTTCTTGGTATCTTCCTGAAAGAATTAAAAGCATCATACCATAGCAATATATGCAACACATATGTTTATAGCAGCACAATTCATAATAGCTAAATCTTGGAAACAACCTAAATGCCCATCAACTGGTGAGTGGATAAAGAAGTTGTGGTCTTTTCATACAATGGAATACTAGTCTGCCATAAAGGATGAGTTTCAGACATTTATAGTTAAATGGATGGACCTTGAGCCCATACTCTTTAAGCGAAATAAATCAAACATGGATGTTTAAATACTGCACTGTTTCTCTGGTGTGAGAAAACAAAAGTGGAAATAAGGACTGAAATGTATAATGGATGTTGGGAAATGGGAAGAAGGTATTCAAATGGGAAGGGGAACAAGGGAAAAGGAAGAAGGAAAAAAGGGACAAGAAGAAAAGTGAAAATAGAAGGAAAAAAATGGAAACAAAGCTTTTGTACATAGGGAAGGGAAGGGGGCTTGAGAAGGGAATGGGATAAAATTTATTAAGAAATACTCTAAGAACATGCCCGTTAACAGCTACCCGTAAATATTTTACTTACACAGGAATACTTCTACTGTCCTTTGATGTGAAGAATATGGTCCTTGTACTTTCCTCTCTAGAAGGGTCTTCAGACTTGTGGCTGTAGGGCCGACCTGGTGTAAGATGTTCTCTTTTTGAAATGTGATTATTAGAGAGTTTACAGGCAATATCACGCTGGGTGCCCATTCTTTCTGTCTTGGATACTTCCTTGACAGTACTAGACTGGTATGGGTTTCCTCTCCTTTCAAAGAAAAGGGTGACAGGTCGGTCCTTCAGGGGTAAATGAGCAGAGGGGCTGTCTTTAGGGGCAAAAGCTGCATCTTTTACGGTTACTGATGGGGCTGTTCCTAGTCCACTGGATTCTCCCTCATCTGGGATACTTGGGATAAACAGAGAGGATGGTCTCTCTGCTCTTGGCTTTGATTGACAGAATGGTGGTGTAAGGAAAGACTCTGCAGCTCTTGGCTTTTCAATTGTTTTGAAGGCTTTACGCTCCTTTTCTAGAATATCTGTTTGCTGTCGAATCTGTTCCATCATCTCTTTTTCATTTTGCTGCTGCAACTGCTTTTGCCTTTTTTCCTTCTCCGTGTTCAGTTTTTCTAATTTCTTAAGCACATTATTAGAAGAATCCATACTCAAAGAAGGAACCACTTGGTCTCCTGAGAAGTGGGACTTCCTAGCTTCTCTGCTGAAATCCAAAGTATGTGCTGTCCTCAATGTATGGTCATGCTCCAAATTCTTGTTTCTTTGGATATTCGTGTCTAGCTGTTTCAATGCATCTTGATGGGGAATATAAAAAAATGTAGGCAAACTATTTGACATGGAAGAATCTCTCCACTGTGGCTTACAGGTGATAGGTTCAGAACCGCAGAACTGCTTTTCCTGCACAGTCCCATTCTTCAAGGGCTCTGATTCAGGGGATGATCCCTTCTGAATCCACACAGAGCTGGTCTCACTTGAGGTACTGAGGGCATTGTCCTGTGAATCAGATTTTGGACTGCAAGGTATCTTTGGTGATGGAACCGGCAAGTATCCTTCATCTAAAATTATGGACTCTAGCTTGCTCTTCTGGCTGTCCTCACAGCTTAGAAGTTCCAAGCTTCCTTGAGAGCTTTCACTATCAGGGGTACCTTGTGGAGACTGGAGACCTTCAGGCATCAGTTCTGTAGACCATCTTCGTTCCTCTGAAGGAGACATACCACCAAGTGAACGAACTTTCAGCAATTCCAAGCTAAATATAGCTTGCTCTAGCTCTCTCATTCTCCGGCTTTCTCTTTTGGCCCGGCCTACTTTTTTCTGATGGAGATCCTCCAATGACTTGGGTCTTTCTCTGACAATTACCTCTTGCTGTAAGTTCATACCACTTTGACTTCTGGCTCTCTCCTGCCTCTTGGCTAGACTCTCTTCTGAGCCATCCACTGAACTGTCAAGGCCAATTCGATTACTGTCTATCACAGATTTACTTTCCTCTATGGCTTTCACTCTGTTGTCAAAGGAACAATCCTCCCATTCTGAAGGATCTGAACCTTGAACTTCCAGAGCTCCAAATGCCTTGATATTCATTAATCCATGTTCTGGTTTTGTCTCTCTTAGCTTCTGTTCTTTTAAAGCTTTAAATCTATATAAAATATAAATGGGTTATGGATACCTCTTGGTTACCAATGAAGACAATACACTTATTAAGAATTTAAAAAGAAATAGAAAGTCACAAAATTTTCTTGGATAGTGTACTATGTTACTATTGTTGAGGATGGCCTCAAACTCAAGTGATCCTCCTTCAATAGCTGGAATTATTGGTGTACACCACTGCACCTAGCTTTTAAATTTTCATTTTGTAAGCATTTCTTAACTTAATCATACCATTTCAATTCTCCTATTTCCATGAGACAGAGGATATTCATTATGCATATCAATTTGGGAGGGTGGTTTGAGATAGGGTCTTGCTATGTAGACAAGGTGGGCCTTGAACTTCCCAGGTAGCCTAGGCTGGCTTCAAATTTGCAGCGATCCTCCCACCTCAGGCTCCTGAGTGCTAGGATCAAAGGTGTGTGCCACCAGGTCCAGCCAGACATACTATTTCTAACTGCGTATTTCAGTCAAAATGTAAACTAACTCAAAAGCAAGACTCTCATTTTTGTAATATGCATACTTTAAAATAGACCTTACATTATGAAATTAATGTTTTTACAGGGAAAAAGTTGAATACTGCCAATTTTGTAAGATTAAGCCTAATGTAAAAGTTGATTATTGCAGTTATAAACCACAGGCCATGCAGAATTCCAATTCATTTTAATTCAACAGACACTTATTTAACTTATACTGTAGACAAAGCTAATAATAGCTTAAAATTGGCAGGACTATCAGCATAATGAAGAAAGAAAATTGTATACAACCAAAAGTAATGCAAATATTATAAACAAAGTACTCAGAAAGACAGAGGAACAACTACAGTAACAGGGATTACCTTTGTCTTGCCGTGAATCCTCTACACGTTGACTGCAAAAGGATAACTGCATTCCTTTGCTCTTGATACCGCTTACTTTCCCTGTAGCCTTTCCATCTTGCCTGTATGCAGGTAGCAGCCATGTGCCTGTGCCTACAGAGCTTCCTCCATCTCTGCTGGATGACGATGGCTGCAGCCCGTAGTTCCAAGTACCTCTGTCTCTCTAAGTGAGCACGCCAGGAAGCTTGTAGGAGAGTAGCTGCACTAGCCATGACAAAAGCACCCTTCTGTACAGCTGCAGCTCTGATTTGCTTCTGATTTATGTAATTCCTCCAGCATCTCTGGGAGTAAGACAACAGAAACTGGTTGACATGTTACCATACATTTGCACAGAAAAGGAAAAAAAGGATAAATTTCTCATGCCATAATTAGAAGTTAAGTGGCTAAGCAGCTAAACTGTCCATAAATAAAAGTTTTCATTTCCAGACATGCTTGGATAAACAACTATTTTAAATAAAACCTTCATCAAGTTAACTACAGAACTTAAAATTTTGGATGCTTTCATGCCCTACAAATAGTATCAACAAATTCTAATCATTTTGATACAATTTGTTCTAATAATATTAACAGGTTTAAGGCATTTAAAGATGAAGATAAAGATTTTCTTGCACAAACAAGGTCTTATGGAGAATAACTGAGGATATAAAACAATGCGAGAAATAATAGAACAGACAAATGTGACACAAGATGCCCACCATCCAGTAAGTGCCTAACAGCAATGTATATGTAACTCTCAAATGTCATTCAGAATACTATTACTATTACTATTATTATGCTGGGCATGGGTGCACGCCTGTAATCCTAGCCCTCGGTAGGCTAAGGAAGGAGGATCGCTGTGAGTTTGAGACCAGCCTAGGCTACACAGTGAGTTCCAGGTCAGTCTCAACTACATAGTGAGATCCTGTCTCAAAAAAAAAAAAACAATCAATCAATCCATTCAGCAAGTTGATTTTTTGTTTGTTTTTGGTACCAGGGTTAGAACTCAGGCCTTGCGCTTGCAAGGCAGGCAGCCAGCAAGTCAGTATTAATAATCAACTACTACAAGCTAGGTAATCTGTTGGGTGCTATGAACATTTCAAAATTGAGTAGAATACATTCTTATCTTGAAGTTTATTATTATTACCTAAAACTTACACAGTGAAACTATTTCTAGTTACTAAACAAAGAACAAATAAACTAGTCAATCTCATGCAAAGAATATTCTGCTTCACACCTGGATAGCAATAGCTGCCTGTCTCAGATGGAGGAAATGCTGTCTACACAGCAACACCCGGAACCATCGCTGCAACAACATGATTCTACGGAGCACCTCTTGGTGAAGCAGATCTTGTAAGTGCTGTCGTTCCTGCTCCTTTAGGAAGATCTACCACAAGGAAGAAACACAGGGGATTTAGCTTAAGAAGAAATAAAAAATACGTTTCCATGAATTATTCTTTCTGTGGCAAGCTTTTAGACAAGAACAAATACAATACAGACAGATAAATGAAAGACTGAAAAATGGGAAGTCCTGTATCAGTCATCTAAAGTAGTCATTCTCAAATAGAAATAAAAGGATACTAGAATATAGGAAAGGAAACAGGACAATGAGTGAGAGTACAAAAATTCCACTGGAAGAAACTGGATGCATTTCCTGGAAAAATCACTTTCATAATGAATCAATGCACTACTGATAATATGTGGAATTTTTCAAGGTTGTTATTGGGGGAAAAGAGAGAACCATATCTTGAAACTTCATCATCATGTGAATAAACCAAGGACAGCGGTATTTTTTAAATCCAGCAGTCATCAAAGACTTATTGGCCAAAGTTATTGATCAGGTTATTTATTTACTTCTTCCTGCCCCTAATAAATTCTTAGAGTACACAAAAATAAAGACACATCACTTTGGAAACAGAATTTGCACTTCATCTTTAAGTGCAGGTAGATATTATGTAACCTAAGAAGAAAAAAATAAACTAATAAGGGCTAAAGACAAAAGATTTCACCTGAGTAACACAAGGAATTGAAACAACAATAAAGGTTAAGTACAGAGAACAAGAGAACAAGAGAACAATTCACTTTCATGAAGAGGATACTGAATGGTGTGAATTCACAATATGGAGGTTCTTAAGAGGATGATGTGCGCGCTGGCGATTTAGCTCAGTGGTTCTACTGCCTGCGTTGCAAGTGCAAGGACCCAAGTTCAATCCCCAGTACCCACCCCCCTACAAAAAAGAGGAAGATGTCTAAATTTAATAAGGAGTTTACTGGAGGATTATTACTGACAAGAGGCCAACAAAAGAGTAAAGTTACACAAAATGACTAAAATAGAGTAGGAGCAGATGAACATCTGTTTATTCTAAGGGTAACTTAGATGAGAAGAACTAAAGAAAATAGAAGCAGAAAGGAAAAATGATATAAAAATTATTTGTAACAAAAAAGAGAAAAAGAACTTTGTAAAAGCATTCTATTGAGGGATGATACAAAATCATTACCATTTCTAGCCTGAGAGATGGAAAAGGGGTGAAAGAAAAAAGCAGCTGATAAATTAAGGTCAGTAGAAGAATCTGGATAAAGTTTCCTTGGGTAATAAGTAAGGTGGCAATGATAATAGAATATCTAGTCAGAGATTGTTTAGAATATGTGCTGCCGAAGCAAGTACAAAACAGTTTAAATTACAGCTAAAATTATAGTCACAACTAGAGCACTGACTAGAAGTTCTGTTAATATTGGCTATAGTATGTACAAAACCTTAGCCTAATCAATATCCTTATGAATTTGATACATACTATTTTAAATAAAATAAAATATTATATTTACCATGGTTTTTCCAACTTGGTAATTACTTGGATTAAGATTTATTTTCCGGAAGAAATCCTGAATGTTAAATTTGGATGGAATAATTTTTGGGGGAAGAAGTACATGAAAGTGGCTCACAAAATCCTGAAAAATAACAAGAAAATGCTGTAAAATCACAAGAGAATTGTATGCAAACAAAACAAATAAAATATTATATTTACCATGGTTTTTCCAACTTGGTAATTACTTGGATTAAGATTTATTTTCCGGAAGAAATCCTGAATGTTAAATTTGGATGGAATAATTTTTGGGGGAAGAAGTACATGAAAGTGGCTCACAAAATCCTGAAAAATAACAAGAAAATGCTGTAAAATCACAAGAGAATTGTATGCAAACAAAACACTAAGTTATCCCTTAATCTTATTCTTTTAAACAGGATAAAACCAAAAAGGTGGCTGTTAATTTAAGATATTATAAAAGGTTAACATTAAAAACATGAGGAGAAAGAAACTCAGTTCTGCACATAAAGCTGTCAAGAAGAAAAGCAGAAGTTAATTATCTCTTTTGAGAAATACGCATTAAAAAACAAAGAAAAGATTTTTTTACCAAGAACCTGAAATTCTTAGCCAGGAAACAAACAAGTAAAAGCTAATATGGGAACTTTTTATTTTATTTTAGATATTGGGAATTGATCCCAGGGCCTTCATATACTGATCTATATTCTCAACCCATTTTTTAAAATATGTATTTTTTAAAATTCTAAGATGGGCTCACCAAGTCACTAAGTTGCTCAGGCTTTACCTTGAACTTAAGAACCTCCTGCCTCAGTCTCCCAGAGAGCTGGGATTACAGGCATGCACCATTATGCCCGACATGGCAGCGATTATAAGGGCTTAACTGAGAAAACATTTCTTTCACAGTACAGCAAAGATTACAATATAATTTCTACAGACATAGCAGAAGATGATAATAATAGCTGTGTAACTTCCTAGTGACTTCCCATGAAAGAAAATACTGCTAGGAAAACTCTCTTGTGTCTAGATAATTCTGATTGACTACTTCAATTACTGAAGCAATCAGTACAAAGAATTGCATTATCAGTCAATTTGCCATTAGTAAACACTCTAATCAGACGTGAACAGTGAGGTACTGTATTCTATTACAACTTAAGTGTAATGAGATTGCTGGTACTCAATGAAAAAGTACATTCTAACCTTTTTTTATTCTATATACAAAGGTGGAAGAGAAAGGGAAAATTAAGAAAAACAAGAAAGCTACAAAGAAATAGGTAAGATATGTGAAAATATTTAAGTGGTGTGGGTATATATAAATATCACAAAGAAGCACAACCTGAAAAGAGTATTTGCAGCTGTATCCTGACTGGCGAATCCGGACTGTCTCCAGCATTCCTGTGTACCGGAGCTGTCTGAGCACCAAGGCATCATTGAATCTTAAGGGCAGCTGAAACAAAACAAATGGAAAAAGGTGAACCCAGAAGAGTACTGTCTCCAAATTATTGTCTGTTTCATAAGCATGGCTAACTTTTGAATATTTAAGACTGACTGGAAGTTGTTGGGTCAAGATACAGCCAAGGCAACAGGACAGGCTAACATCCCAGGTAGTAGCTTCAGAAAAGTTCTGATGAGCCTGGAGGAAAGAGAGAACTAAGGTGTCTCTGGCTGCCCAGGCAGATCCTCCTAATTTAGCCTTCCTAATGCTGGGACTACAGTCATGTGTTACCACACCTAGCTCGTACTTTTATATTTTATTTTATTTTATCTGTAATCCCAGATAACATGTCTGTCAGTTGCCTTGGTTAAATGAAAGCTTAAAGATTCTTTTTCCAATATAAAATAAGAGTAGTTTATTCCCCTAATAGAATACTTTTTGATGATGGTATTGGCATGAAGCACTTAAAAAAAAATCTGGTGATCCCTCAGAATTAATCTGTTCATTACAGGAACTCACAAGGAGAAACTAATGACAGGAAGCCATTCAACACCATACCCTACAACTGCAAGATATTTTGTTAGACATCTTTTGGATATTCAACAGGAGATATACTTGTGCTTCTACTATTTCTCTGTTCCCTAAGTAGTATTTTCAGTAATCTTCTAAGGCAATCTCAAGTATTTTTTCCGGAAGCTAGATAGAACAAACTAGCTACCAAGGAAAAAAAAATTAAATGAGCAATGAATGTCAAATAACAATAGTTAACATTTAGTAAATCTGTACCCTGAAATACTTCATTAATTGAACTCTTTTATTTATTTTTTTTGCAGTACTGGGGATCAAACTTGCAAGGCAGGCACGGTGCCACTGAGCTAAATCCCCAGCATTAATTGAATTCTATCTATAGCAAGATTTCAATTAAAAACTGAAACTCAAACTTCTACTTAAATATAACAGCTTCATTTTTAGTCACTATAAAAGAATAGCTAATATTTAATAACTACTTAGTACAGCAGATACTAGGCACTTGACAGATACATTAACATATATGGTCACAAAGCAATAAGGTTATTCCTGTAATTAGTTTAATGTATATCAATTAAAATATTTTTAATCAGTACATGTTTATGGTACATAAAGCACAAATTAAAATATTTAAGCCACAGAATAATCGAGTGTAACCATTTATATCTAGATGTCTCTCAAAAGTCTGAAGCTCATAGGCAGGAGGTTGTGGAAGATGACTGGATTATGAGGCCTAATAGCTGGCTTGCTGTTAGGTGGGTCACTCGGGGTGTGAGCTGGAAGAGTTTAGCTCCCTTCCCTGATCCTTCTTTGATGTTTTCTGCTGCTTCTCCATGCTGCTCTGCCTTGGAGCCAGCTGACTATGGACTGAAACCTCTACAAATTGTGAAATGAAATAAACTTTTCTTCCTTTAAGTTGTGGATGCTGGGCATGGTGTCTCAACAATGAAGAAAATGACTAAGATACCAAGTAACTCATCTAAAATTTTGGTTTTTTTTTTTTTTTTTGGTACTGGGGATTGAACTTGGGACCTTGCACTTGCGAGGCAGGCAGCACAACCACTGAGCTAAATCCCTGGCCCTACTTGTCTACAATTTTAAAAAGCAAAGCTGCAGATTATTTCTTTAAAAAGTTAGAAAGCTGAACCTAATTCCTATTTTATTTTGCTGTTCAGGCTGAAACTACTTTTTATGATGAACATTAAATAAAAATGATAAACATTTACACGAATATTTATAAAGAATTATTTATTTTTATGTTTTGAATGTTCTGTTTCTTAAATATGGGAACTATCACAGGAAAGAGAATGGAATCAAGAATGACCACGGGCTCTTCTTGAAGTCACAGGGACAAAAACCTCCTAGCCAGATAAATGTATAAGAAGAAGAGCCATAGAAAATATTTATAAAACACCATTTTCCTTGCTAACATTATAGATAGCTCTCTTCCTCTCCAGTCATTTTCTTTAAAAAAAGGTTTTAAATCTTGTCTTCAAGTTACCTGAGCTAAACAATATCATTCACAAAACATTTTTACCTTTTCAGCATTGGAACGAATACATTTCACAAAATACGGTTCTGCTTGACCTAGTGTCTCCATCAGCTTGCTTAATGATGCCTACAATTCAAAGTAATAAAGTTAGTATTCTCTCCAATACCAAATGGCAACAAATAAATTTATGAAATAAATAATATTGGTAGAATATGTAAACACTATCTATGAATACACAGAAAAGAGTTTGTTTCTTCTAAAAGAAGAATATATTCCCATTTTGATGAAATTTAGGATACAGATAAGGATGGTAATTTAATCCTAAAGTTGATAATGATAACAGTAAATACTGCAGCTATATTTCAGAATGTAAGTACAGAAAATTTTTTTCACTATTTTTCACCTCTTTAAGCAAATTTATTCAAATGCATGCATTTCTGAAGAATTTAAGTTCATCCAATAGGGAATCCAGTAAAGTTGTACTCCATTGCTTTGATTTTAATGTTTCTAGAGTATGTAGTGATGTCCTCTCTTTCACGCTAAATAATGACAATCTATACCTTCTTTTTTCTGAATTAGTCTAGCAAGAGATTTATCCATTTTTTTAAACTGTTCAAAGATCTACGTCTTTGGTTTCCTTGATTTTTCTCTATTTTTCTGTTTTCACTTTCATTGAATTCTCCCATTATCTTTTTATTTCTGTCTTTCTAATTGTTCTGGGTTTAATATATTCTTTTTCAAGTTTATTAGGCTAGGAGCTTGGATAACTGACTTAAGATGCATCTCCTTTTCTAAGAACATATTCAGTATGTTCACATATTCAATGCTATAAATTAACTGAAGATTCACCGTAGCTGTAATGCACAAATTTTTATATTTCATTCCATTCAAAATGTTTTTAAAAAATATTTTTAATTTTTCTTCTTACTTTGACTAGGTATTATTTAGAAGACTGGTTTTCTTATTTTCCAACTATTTGAGGATAATTATCCTTTTTTGATTTTTAGCTTAATGCCATTATGGTCAGATAAAATATTTTATATGATCTTAACTCTTAAATTTGTTAAGGTATTTTATGATCATTTATGTTCTATCTTTTTGTTTTATTTTAGTACCAGGGATCAAACTCAGAACCTTACGCTTGTGAAGTAGATGGCAGCACCACTGAGCTAAATCCCCAGCCCTTATGTTCTATCTCAGAAAGAGTTCCATAAGCACATAAAATGAATGTACACTCTCCAGTTGTTGACTGGGATGTTTTATTCATTTCAATGAGGCCACTGCAGGCTAATAGTCCTGTTCAAGTCTTCCATACCCTACCTTGTCTACTTATCTTACTGATTACTGAAATGTGTGCTGAAATATTCAAGAATAATTATAGATTTGTTTATTTTTTTCTTTTAGTTCCATGAGGTTTCCATTCAAGTATTTAGGAGCTCCATTACTACATGAACACATATTTAGGATTACCTAGTCACAGTATATTGCCTCTTTATCATTATGAAATATTCCTCTTTACCCCTAGTAATTTTCTCCATTCTGAAGTTTACTTATTTGAGAAGTAGAGAAGAGAAAATTTACTTTCCATTATTTCAAACAAAGGATTGTTCTGACTAATAATACAACTATGGTGGATGTATTTCCCAGCAGTCCAAGGGTTCTGAGCAGCTTAGCTGAGTTTGCCTGTCAGGCTAGGAGAGGGGCAGCAGATTTAACAGCAGGTTTAAGCAAATATTTCAGCAATAGCATTACATCAAGAGAAAGCCAAAAAGCTCTGTTAAGGAACTAAGCAGAGGCATGGTACCTGTGACGTGGCTACACTTTCACACAGGGGTCTATGTGTAAATACTGCATAGCTATTCTATGATCAAGTTGTATCATCCCATTTAAAGTTTTAACTACTTAGAAAGTTTCGTGGCCAGAAGGACTGAATCATTTAAATTTGACATTTACTGTTGGAGACAAATTCTCAAGAAAGAATATCCCAGACTAGAGACTGAGCTAATTGTGTATATCTCCTACCACCTTGCTATTTATTTTTATTTGTCATCTATCTTTTTTCTGTACATTTTAGGATTGAATCTACTTTAGTTTTGCTATAGACTCATTACCAGTATTCTAATTTCTTTAAAAAATTGCCCTAGAATTTTTACCTTTATCAGTTTACCTTTAAATAATGTTATGTCATTTTTTGTACAATATAAAAAATCTGCAAAAGCATACTTTTAAGCCTTACTTTCTTCCATGATACTTTTTTCATACATTTTACTTCTAGCCCACAATATACTGTTATTTTTGTTTACTACAACCAATTATCTTTTTTAAAAGATTTAAAAGAGAAAAAATTTTTTTAACTAAGCTACATTTCTATCATTTCAGTAATATTTATGTAAGCCCACATTTCCAGTGCTTTTTATCATTATTTGTCAATGTTTATGTTTAGTATTTCTGATATTTTAGATCTGGTAATGATGAATTCAACTTTTTTCTGAAAAGTCTCTAACATTCATTTTAAAAAAAAGAGGATATATTCCATAGGAGGAGAATTCCAGAATGACTATGGATTTCAATCTTTTAAAACCATTACTTTGTATTCTGGCTTTTATAGTGATGAGAAATCCACTGTTTTCTTATCTTTACTGTACCTAACATCTCTTCTTTCCCTCTGACTATGCTTAAGATGTTCTTTTTATAATTGGTTTTAGCAATTTGATATCATGTGCCTTGGTGTGTTTTTGTCTTTTCTGCTTATGGTTTAATGATATTCTTTGATCTCTGCGCGTTTAACAAGTCAGAAAATATTTTGGTTTCATTTCTTCAAATGCTGTTCTGCACACTCCTCTCTCTCCTCTCCTCCTAAGATTCCAATCATACCTACTTAAGACAAGTTGATATTATTCTACAAGATACAGATGTTGCTTTCTTTTTCCCATCCTTATTGTTTCTTTCAGAGCTTTAAGATAAATATGGCTTCAAATTCACTACTTCTGATCTAATCAATGTTAATAGGGTTTACTTATTATCAAATAATACATTTTTAATCTTTTTTTTTTTTGGCACTGGGAATCGAACTCGGGTCCTTGCGCTTGCAAGACAGGCCACTGAACTGCGAGCTAAATCCCCGGCATATTTTTAATCTTTAAAAATTCCATTTGAGCCTTTTTTTACAACCTCTCCCCCCTTCTTTGTTGGTTGTAATGGGAAATGGAAGGAGGGAGGGGATATAACAGCTTTTTTCTGGAGCAGTGTCCAAAGACAGTCATTCCAAACAGATATATTCTATTTTTTCCACCTCATATTCATGTCTGTTGTTATATTCATGGGCATGTTTGTAAGATTTATAATAGCTGTTTTGAAATTTTTACCTATTATTTATATCATCTTGTCATTTTTAGGTTTATTTTTGAAAAATACTTATCTTTTTGTTTTTTTTGGACAGCGTCTTGCCACATAGTTCAGGCTGCCTTAAACTATGTAATCCAGGGTGGCCTCAAATTCATGGCAATCCCCCTGCTTTAGTCTCCCAACTGCTGGGATTACAGGCGTGTGCCAAAATGTCTGGCTATCCTCCTTGTTATAGATTATTTTCCTATTAGATAATTTCTGACTGGATGCTAGGCATCGTGCTTAACACTGTTGGATTTCTTTAAATAACAGATATTTTCCCTGGCATGCAGTCAAATTAGTTAGTCTGACTTTGGTTCTTTGAAGATTTGCCTTTAGCCAGGGATTTAGTTCAGAGGTTCCGGCACCTGCCTCGTAAGCACAAGGACCTGAGTTCAATCCCTAGTATCAAAAAAAAAAAGATTTGCCTTTAAACTTTATAAAGGCAGGGCAACGCAGCCTTTATAGTACTAGAACTATTTCAGTCTTATTACTAAGGCAAAGTCGTTCTGATCCATGTACCAACAGGTACTCCACTGTGTGTGTGTGTGTGTGTGTGTGTGTGTGTGTGTGTGTAAACTGTTATATCCACGGGATTCTAGTGGTTCTCACAGATTAGCAAGACCACTGGCATTTGTTTGGGTTCTTTTCCTGGCTTATAGACCGAATAACATATATGACATGTTAGTAAGATAATTTGTATTCAAACATCCTAGCTTTAAAGGGATTTTAAAAAGTATTATGTAGAAATACAGCTACCATATATAAGGAAATGGTGCTTCTGTGATATAAACAAAGTACAGTTATCTACAAAACTTTCAACTTATTTTTGTAATATCTATCAAATGATCAGAACTTTGGAAAGAAATGATTTAAGAACAAAAGAGGTAATTTAGAAAAGTATCTTGTAAATACTTATTTTGGATATTACTTGGTTAATTTATTATTGTATTTATGCCTAAAGGCCAAAAGAAAAAAAATGTGAATTTCTAAGGTAAACAAAACACAAACACACAAAACCCTACAATCTCATTTAGTTAAATACTGATGGCAACAGCAAAAGGTTTAACTACCAAAAAAAAATTACATCGTTGTGCTAACAATGACTATACCTGAGCAGTAGGGTTTAAAGGCAGATATTGTTTATAATAATTTCCTCACACATTCTGCTCACATTGAAAATAATGAATTACTCATTGAGAAATCCACTATTCAGAGGCAAATGGATGAAAAAATAAAAAGGCAGGTGACTTATTTTTACCACCTTGGGACTTCTTTAAAAGAGACGGTTAAAATATGTTTTTTAGTCACATAATCATCCTAGTCAAGTTCCTTGCAGGTCGTTTGGAGCTTTCAATGACAACTGGAAAGAAGCACAATCTTATTTGGTATAAATAAAATAGAAACAACCTGAAACTGGGCACTGATGCTGGGAGGTTTCTTCTTCTTGTGCAAATGAAGAAGAGACTTGGTAATACGATCCTGCAGGGTCAGTCTTGTCAGATGCTTCAAAGAATTTACATCTAGCAAGTGCTGAAAAGAAGGAAAAAATTAATTCACATAAACTAATAAAAAATGAGACAAAATATTTTCAGCTTTCATCATTTATCTATATGATAATTTATCTCATATATGATTGTGACTGTTAGGCAAGTAATTAGACATTAGTAGGCATGAGGGACAAAGGGGAAGTTCAAAATAGCATGCTTTGGCAATTATAGTTAAATAAAGAAAACAAAGACCTTAATGTATAATACATTTATATATTTCAAATATTACATCTCAGACCAGACAGTCTTGCCCTGGGATGGGACCTAGTTTAAATTAACAACTTATCTTTCCTAAATTTCTTTTATAAGAAATCCCCCTGGGGGATTTAGTTCAGTGGTGCTTCTGCCTGCCTCACAAGCACAAGCTTCTGAGTTTGATTCCCCCATACCAGGGGGAAAAAAATCCCCCTAAGGGAACACAGATTATCTGAAAAGGACAGGAAGATATTTTACAATTCCAAAGTATCTTCTAAGTAAAATGCTGATAAACATTATAACCACCTGAGTTCCCTGAGCCCCCAAGGGTAACTCTTGTGTGCATAAAAAGATATCCAGGGTCACACTAATACAGATGTCCCTGGGCACTGCCTTCTGACTTGAAGGGGTAACTCTATGTCTACTTTACAATAAACTCTACCAAAACATCTGCACAGCCACCTAAGTGTCTTGACCAAATTCTTATCATTAAGGACACAAAAGGACAGAGGAGATTTGCAAGGGAAGGTTCCTTGGAGCATCAGGATTGGGCTTCCAGGTGATATGATGAAAATATAAAATTGATACTTGCTAGAAAGCTAAAAATTAAACACCTATATGTGAAATTTGAAAGGTATAATTGAAACAGAGGGTCTGGCTATTATTCCTGCAAAAATGTACTATATGTACTTTTATGTACCATAAAGGTATTTTAGTTCTCTATAGTGCCAGCCTCCAGCTACCACTTTTATGAGTGTTCAGAGGCAGAACACAGGACACATTTATGTTGTCACCACAACTGCTTATAGAGTAGAAGTATAAAATAATAGCATCTTCTCTCAGATCTCTGAATTATAAATGGTATGTTTCTCAAAGAAGCAGCTATACTGACAGGAAGCTGGTATCCTGGCTTTCTGATTGTACCTACACTTAGTTCTGCAGTGTTGTACTAATATTCTTAAACTTCAAGGCTTCTAACTATTTTAGAAGCATCTGGGTATAAGTCCCCTTCAATTTAAAAATATCTACAGTAATTACTGTTACCTCCAACTGACTCCTAATTCAGAGTGCCAATATATTAAATAAAATCCCAGGGCTATAAAAGGCATGCCAGGAAAACACACATGCACCCACATGGCTTTATCTAGCCATCTTCCTAATGAGCAACCCTACACTTTAATTAGAAAGATGGGATTTACATATGAAACAACAAAATATATAAAAGAAAGTAGTATACCACTTTTCAGCACATTGTATTTTTAAAAACATGCTATATGATGGTCCTGACTTTATAAACAGAAAGGGCAATCATGCTTAAGGAACTGGAATTCAAAAAACATCATTTTCCCTGGGTGATGGTGCAAGCCTGTAATCCTAGCTATTTTGGAGACTGAGGCAGAAAGACTGCAAGTTCTAAGTCAGCCTGGGCAACTTAGTGAGACGCAGTCGTAAAATTAAGAAAAAAGTCTATAGCTCAATGGTAAACAGTAAATAGTGCCTGCCTCACGCGTATGAGGCCCTAGGTTTCATTTCCAATACTGCAATAAATACAAAGAAAACATCATTTCTAACAAATGACAAAGGTTTGTGTGTGTGTGTGTATATATAAAACTTAAATTCTTAAGCATACCAGTAAAACAATACATCTGAGTTAGCTACTCTCAAAGTAAAAACAGCAAGTAACATAATGACACTCAGTATCATTTGCATTCAACAAAACATACTTTTGAGAGGGATGATTCCCACTGGATGCTTGGGACCTAACTCAGGGCCTTGTGTATGCTTGGCAAGCGTACTACTAATGAACTATACTCTCACTCCCTGTTTTCTTTAAAGAGATTTTTGAACACAACACACTGGCACACAGAATAAGGACTAACAAACAGTATTCATGGCAATATAGGAAAAGGGGCTTATATGTACTGTTCTGTTAATATCAGTAAAACTTTGCTGGCAAACAATTTTACTTCTAGGTATTTACTGTAAGATTAATAAACAAGATCTCCATGTTGTCTGTGGCAATATACTTCAAACTATAGTAAAAATTATGAACAGATACACAATTATATAGAATTCTTTTAAGTATGCTTTATTCACAAAACTGAATAACTACAGTACTTGTAAAAATGTTGTAAACCCATGTTTTCTGACATCAAAAATATTTCCAAACACTTCTGACAGAAGAAAAACAAGTGAAATAGCACAGATGCTTAATATTATAAGGGAAGAAAGAATGCAGGCAGGTAAAAGAAGGGAAGAACAGAAGAAGGGGAAAGGCAAAAAGAGAATAGAAAAGAAGAGAAAGAAAAGAGAAATGATATTATACTCAGGGGAAAATAATTTTTCAGTTTTGATTTATATTTAAAGCTATGGTACATACAATTACTACTTACCATGGTTAAAAAAATCAAAATCATACATATGTATGAAAATTAACTATAAAATAGCATTGCTGTCAAGGAGTTTATAAGTTTTTAAAACTTTGTAAAAAATGTGTATTGACTCCTGATTCAGAATTTTTCCATTATTTTGATACTTCAAAGTATTCTATACCCAGATCTTTTCACAAGGCTTGGTTCTACTTGACTTACCAGTAGCTTAACTACAAGTTTCTCAGAAAGTTCATGCTTAAACACCACAACAATTACACACTTCTATCAATTACATGTCACTTCATTTTCCACACGGAAAACAGTATTATTTAAATTATTTTATTTATTTTTGTACTGTTTTTATCTTCTATAGAGCATAAGCTCTGAGAGAGTAAGGGACTGACTCTGTTGTTTATCCTAGTATTCTCAATTTATACAAGTGTCTACTAGATAGTAAAAGTTTAATAAACATTAGTTTAAATGAATATGTTGCTGCATATATCAATTGCTTATTACTTTTTATTGATCAGTTGAGTATTCTACTCATGAATAACATGTTCATTTATTCTTTTTCCTACTAATGAACTTTTAGTTATTATAAATAACTGCTTTTAGTTATTACAAAAAAAGTTTCTATGAACATTAAGAAAGCAAAGCAAAGCAAGATAAAAAGCTAGAGTTATATTAACAGAGGGCCAGAAGAGTTAAATGTCTATGATCAATCTTTCAAGATGTAGTAAAAAAGCAATCCCACTTATATCACTAACATTATAAGAAAATAATTAGAAATCACTCAAAAATACGTTAACCATAGTCACCATTATCAGACCTCTTATCAACAATAACATTTTCATTTTAAAAAACTGAGTTAAGGTAAAGGAATAATGATTCATTTTCTTGTTTCTTAAACTACTGAATCCTAGGAAAATAAATAGCTATTTATCAGTTCTTTTAAAATCCTAAAATTGGGCCAGGGATTTAGCTCAGTAGTGCCACAGCCTGCCTCAGTCCTGAGTTCAATCCCTGGTACCAAAAAAAAAAAAAAAATCTAAAAATTAAGTTTATTCACAGTTACAAGTGACAAGATTCCTTCTATGGGAGGGCAGAAGAGAAGGAAATCCTTAAGTATCAATTCAATAAATAATTCTGAAATACCAACTTTGCATAAATCATAAGATTAGTCCAGAAAAGTTACAGCTCATGTGCCAAATCTGGACCACTGCTTCTGTATGGATGAAAAAAAATCAAATTAATATTTCAAGACACATGAAAAATTATATGAAATTCAAATTTTGGTGTTAATAAATAAAGTTCTACTGGATTGCAGAAGCACTCCCTCAGCTACCTATTACCGATTAACAGCCACATTTGTACTACTAGAGTGAAGCTAAGCAGTCATATCAGAGCCCACAGGCCCACACAATCAAGAGCTTGATACAGAAAAGGCCTAATTCCACTAACAAATATGAAGATTAGATAGGTATTAACTACACGCTTTAATTCAGAATTTGATCTTAACCTGGGTCAAGAAGAAATAAAAATAGCCTTACTAAATAAAAATTTACATTTGTAACTATGAGCTTTTTTTTGTACCAAGGATCGAACTTGGGACCTTGAGCTTGTGAGGCAGGCAGCAGAACCACTTAGCTAAATCTCTAGCCCCATGAGCTTTTAAAAACAAGTAGAATGAATGAATGAAACAATTAGAAAATGGTATACTTGTAACAAATAATTTACCTGAACCAACAGACTTGACCATTTCATAATAGGTAGAGTATTTTCTAAAATACATTCAGCTAAGGGCACACAATCCCTATTATGGATAGAAATAAGGTACAGTATTTCTTGTCAATTTATAAGGATAGTTTCCAAGAGTACTACAAAATATTTATGTGATGGGGCATAATAGGGGAAAAAAAGCTTTTATATAAGGCTTACCTTTGGAAGGGCAGGCTTGGATTTGAAGTTTTTGTTTCTCCTATAAAGATAAATCACTTATTAGACAATAAAACCAGATAGATGAATGACTTCAAAGTCTATAAACAATGGATCATCCATTACTAAGAATATAGGACATCTACAAGAAAATATTATATGACTTAGTCAAGCAAAAAGGTTAAGTAAGGAGAGAGAAACTAATACCTGCTTTCTAACATAGGAATGAGAGGATTTAAGCCTGATGATTAATGGTGGAATATTGTACATTCCAAAGTACAATTTTTTTGGAGGGGAGAGATATTAGTAGGGCTCTGCTTGCTTTCTTTCTTTTTTTTTTTGGGGGGGGGTACCAAGGATCAAACTTGGGTTCTTGCAAGGCAGGCAGCAGAGCTGCTGAGCTAGATCCCCAGCCCAGGGCACTGCTTTCTTATACCTACAAAAGATTTACTTTTGTCATTTAGAGATGCCTAAATTTCATGAATCTCTAAAAATGTACTTCTTGGCAAAATGTGATTTTTCATTAGAAATTTAAAATGCTGGTCCAGTGATTTAGCTCAGCGGTTCCGGCGCCTGCCTCTCAAGAGCAAGAAACCGAATTCAATACCTAGTACCCATAAAAAAAAAAAAAATTAAAAATGCTTTTTCCTATTCACAACTCAATGTCATAGTTATATTTTATAATCACCTTCTTATGGCTTCAGAAGGACAGTGAATAAAAGCCCAATGCTACAAATATATAGTAAGTTACAAAGACCTAGGCTAGAATCTAAGATCTACCACCTACTAACATCTAATTTTAACATTTCTAAGCCTTGACTTCATTATAAAATGAGTACAGAACACCACCATGCTTAGAGTTGCTGTGAGAATTACATGACTTAATAAACATTTCTGGAGCAAAGCAAGATCCACATAATTTAAACCATTTAATACTAATAAGCAGTTGCTCAAACAGAGATTAAGGACTATTAATTCAGATACAGGTCTAACAACTGGTCAGGAAACATGCTTGGAAAGTGCCTGAAAGATACTAATGCTATAATGATAAATAGCAGATTAGGATGAACGCTATACACTATAATATAAGGTCCCATTCACCACTTATAGGGCATCTCCTGCCTGTTAGGGCTATCAGAACTAAAGGGCAATAACTGAAATATCAACTAGGACTCCTAAAAATAGGTAAGAGTTGGGCTGGGGATTTAGCTCAGTGGTGCTGCTGCCTGCCTTGCAAGCACAAGGTCCTGAGTTCCATCCCTAGCACAAAAAATAAAAAAGATAATAGTTATTTACTTCTCTAAAAGTAGGACACATCAAAGAGCAATACAGAATCATCTCCATAATGAATATATCCAACCATAATTCTCCTGACCATAAAGAAAACTAAAACAGCAAAAATGATGCTTTAAATATTTTAAATTCATAATTCTAAATACTGACCAAATGCTTTTGAGATTTATTTCAATGAAAATTATATCCATAAAAATAATTCATCATCCCTCTTTTTTTCAGCCATAAATTTTTTAACCTGTCCTAAAAAAGGAATGTATATTAGTGATCAATACTGACATGAGGATTCCATGGGCTCTTTCCAGAAGTCTGCTGCTAGCTGAATTAGCAAAGATCCCATCTTTATCGAGCAAGGAGGTGTTAGCTGGTAGCCTGCTCTGACGAATCCCAGCTCTGACATTCCAGGAAATATCAAATGTATCACTGTGTAAAACAAACAAAAAAAAAAACTGCAACAACATTCTGTACAGTTTAAATAAGTAAAATAAAGCACAAAATACCAAAGTTAAGATTTAGAAAAATTTCTAAAGAAGCAGAAAATAATTTTAAGAGATCATCAATTGAGAGCAATCGTTTTCTCATTAAGAACAAAAAAATCTGGGGATTCTATCACAATCATACAAATGGGCATGTAGATGAGCCCATCATGTAACCAACATCTTCATACTATTATCATTCAAAACAATCAGTAAATAATATAACATGCTAGAGCATAGTATCTTTTTCTTAGACTTTAGAACTTCCAAATGCTACTATAAGATGGTTAATATTGTATGCCAACTTGATTGACTTGAAAGACACTAAGGAAACTAGAAAAGGATACTGCTGGATGTATCTGGATGAGTCATGGGAATGTGATGGCGTGTGTGAGAGAGAGAGAGACCCTTTCTTCTCTCCCTCCCTCTCTCCCTCCCTCTTCTCTCTCCTCCCTCCCCTTATTCTTCTCTCTCCCCTCTCCACTGCCCCCATAAAATGAAAAGTTATCTTTTGCCACACCCTTCTTTCCACGGATGTTTCTGCCTTGGAACTAGTCCATGTTAGACTGAAAACATGAGTTAAAAAATAAAACTTTCTCCATTAACCTCTGAATGTCAGGCATTTTGTCCCAAACATTAAAAGGTAACTAATACACGAGAAACAAAAACAATATAATATGTAATATATATATAAATATATGCGTATACAATGTAATATGGAAAACATAGTGCTTTCCCAGCTTTGACTTTCCTCCTTTACCTCAACAAGAGATGAAAAGGAAGTCCAAGAAGTGGGCACCAATATACATAAGTGAGAGTGGTAATATTACTACAGCAATCAAGAGCAATACTGAACACAGAGGTTTCCAGTCCCTACAGAGTTTCCTAACTGTAACATAAGAAGAATCACTTCAATCTCTTTTATGTGTCATCAAGCCACATTGGTTCTAAAAGATAATCTTAAAATCTACTCATTTTTATAAACCACAAAATATCATTTCTGAAACAATTTTAGGAATTATTTCATTGCAATCCTTCAAAAATATTATTTACTTCTGTTCTCACTGTGGCATTTTATAACACAAGGTCTCAAGTGGTAAACAACAGCTTGTCCAGATCAACAAGAAGAGCTGCACTGAAACTATCAAAGAGTCCACTACTTCTACTTCATTGTACATATGTACAGCATCTATGCTTTCTCTCAAATCGTGTTTTTAATGTTTCAATTTTTTTTTTTGGTATCGGGGACTGAACCCACAACCTTACGCTTGTGAGGCAGGTGTGGTGCCACTGAGCTAAATCCCTAAGCCAATTGTGTGTTTTTATATGTATCAACACTAGAAATCAGAGTCTGTAACATGTAGTAGTTAATTCTTAAAATAGGCCTTTCTCAGTCCACTAACGTGGATATCAATAACGTACAAATTCCTAAAGAATGGTAACATAACCTAGGAGTTTTAATGAAATATATTTGTGTTTTTCAATGCTCCGAGATTAAAATAAAGACAATAGCCAGGTGTGGTGGCACATGCCTGTAATCCCAGCACTTGGGAGGCTGAGGCAGGAGGATCGCTGTGAGTTCGAGACCACCCTGAGCTACATAATGAGTTCCAGGTCAGTCTCAACTACATAGTGAGACCTGTCTCAAAAAAAAGAACAAAACCCCAACCCCAATATCTAATATGCTATAATAGAATATGCATTAAAACAATTAAATAGACACCATTTAATTATAAAGTTCACCCTGTATTTTTACAATATACACTATTATGTGCTGCTGCTAAATTCTAATGATACACATACTAGTTTAAAAGGTTATTTTTTTCTCTTGCTAGTGACGGTGGCGTACGCCTGTAATCCCAGTACTCAGGAGAACTGCCACAAATTCAGGGCCACCCTGAATTAGAGTGAGACCCTGTCTCAAAAAACCAAAATAAAGACATGAATACACAGCATTTTCTCCCAATAGAGATCAGTGTATTTTCTTCATACATTCCACTCTGCGCCTGTCCCTTTACATCAGCAGCTTGCACATGGGAACAGTGCACTTTCAGCTGCTGGTACAGCTGTTTCAATTAAATCATACTAAGGGACTATTCAGAAGCTGCAATAATCTACCATAGTTTTTTTTCCCCCCGAGACACGGTTTTACTACGTAACCTCAAACTTGCAGTGATCCACCTGATGGGCACCACAACACCTGGGGGATAGCTTCTATTCTTTCTCTCAAATCATATTTTGATGCAAAGTTATCTGTCTCCAGTTTTAATTACTTAATGAGTTTTACCTTTCACTGGAGGGATAGTTAATTACATGTCCTTGTTTTTATATAAACTACATCAAGTCTAACCCTAGATCATAACTGAGTTAAAGTACCACTCTTACTCACTGAAATTTTATTTGCAGGTTAATTAATTTTATAAAATTCCCGACTTCATTAATCCTGCCAATTGCCTAAGAAGTTACTGTTTGATAAATAAGAAATCTTTTGTTATTCTCATGAAAATTAAGAATAAAAGGCCTATGCCAGGGATTTAGCTCAGTGGTTCCACAGCCTGCCTCGCAAGTACAAGGACCCGAGTTCGATCCCCATACCAAAAACTAACAAACAAAACGCCAAAGATAACTATTTGCAAAACAAATTTTTCATAGGGTACTTCTTTCATGGTCACTTATAAATAGATGAGAAAACTGTTTCAGGTTTTCTATGCATTTTCATAAAAGTTATCACCTATATCCCTCTAAAATGCAACTGAGAACTTTGAGATGTGAAAACAAGTAGCCCTGACACTTTGTTAACCTATCAGAACAAAATGAGAAAAAGAAAATTTCTGCACTTTTATGATTCTGTAAGACCCACTTCTAAGGAAAATTCCAGAGAGAAAACCCAAAAGTGCCCCTTTTTAAAATTTTTGAGACAGAGTTTAATTCATCCAAGATTGGCTTAAACATGCCACCCTCCAGCCTCAGCCTCCCAGAGGATTGAGATTATAGGTGTGCACTGCCATGCCAACTATTTGACTCACTTTTAGACCATACTAAAAAATTCTTCATTAAAAATGGCAAAAGCTATGCCAGGGTTTTAGCTCAATGGCATTGCACCTACCTTGCAAGTGCAAGGTCCTGAGTTCCATCCCCAGTAACACACACACACAAAGGCAAAAGCTAAGTTTTAGCAATTACATTCCAGAGAACCTCCTTAAAACTACAGAACCAATATCCCATAGGCAAGTTCTGTTAACTCTAACCTATTAATTTACCACATCATTCACAAAGGATTTAAGAATAAAAAACTAACCAAACTTGACTCTCTTCATAATTTTAAAGTCACTAAAATGATAATAAGATTATTAGTAATTTCTTCTATATGTCCTTGAAAATATAAACTTACTGCTGGTTTTTTTCATTTAGAGTATTCATGCCCTGGAGATCAGAAAGAGGTGTTCGGGGATTTTTCCGGGTTATACCTAGCAAAAGAAAAGGCAGAAAATTTCAAATCAATCCCAAGAAAACTAAACTGGAAACCAACTTTCTAAAGACAAAAAAAAAAAAAAAAATGTACATCAATGTTAAATGTTTATTAACTATGACAGAAATATCTAAATAATAGTATGGACCAAGTCCCATAACTATTACTATCATTTACAGATCTGACCTCATTAACAATCATTCCAATTAGGAAATTTAATAATGAATTCTTAACAACTTCTTTCACTTCAACATTAACAAAAGGAAATACAAGGGAAACCGGGTGAAGAAAAAAAATAGATATTACATCTTATTTTGATACTCAGATATTTTCTGGCCAGATATGGTAGCACACACCTGTAATTACAACACTCTGGGAGGCTGGGGCAGGAGGACCATAAATTCAAGCCCAGCCTGGGCAAATACAGTATAGAGAACTTGTCTCAAAATAAAAAATAAAAAAGGTCTGGGGATGTAGCTAAGTATGAAGATCCTAGGCTAAATCCCCACTGCAGTGAATCAATGAATGAATGAATGAGTGAACAAACAAATGATATAACCCTTTGCATCATTTTAGATTATATCAACTGATGTGATAAAGGCACTAAAAATTAAAAATAACTGTTTCCTTTAGAATTAACAATACTTCAAAATACAAATTTCTTATAAGTTCAGTAAGCATGAGGCTATAAATTTTCATTATACACATTTGTATAACAAACATTTATGTAATATATGATATATGGGAAAAAAGTGAAAGTTATCTTTATTTGATATGACATTATCTTGCATGTAAAAAATCCTAAGGAATACACAAAAATGTATTAGTACTAATAAATTCAGCATAACTACAGGAAACAAAATCAATATTAAAAATCAATTATATTTCTACACAATAGTAGTAAATGCCCTGCAAATTAAAAAGAAAAAAAAATTCCAAGGCCGGGGATTTAGCTCAGTGGTTCTGCCACCTGTCTCTCAAGACCAAAGATCCAAGTTTGATCCCCAGCACCTCCCCCAAAAAATCTAGGCATGGTGGCACACGCCTGTAATCCCAGCACTCGGGAGGCTGAGGCAAGAGGATCACTGTGAGTTCAAGACCAGCCTGGGCTACATAGTGAGTTCCAGGTCAGTGTCAACTACACAGTGAGACCCTGTCTCCAAAATCAATCAATCAATCAATCAACCCATTCATAGCTTTAAAATAATATAGCAGATTTAACAAAACAGTACAAGATGTCGACATTAAAAACTATAAAATATCATTATAAGAAATTAAAGATCTAAATAAAACAGATTATCCATACTCATAAACTGAAAAATACAGTAAGATTCTAATACTTCCCAAACTGACCTATAGATCAATCCAATTTCTACTAAAACTTCAGTAATCTGTTCCTATAGAAATAAACAAGCTGATCATAACATTAGTATAGAAATGCAAGGGACCCAGAATAGGCAAAAAAAAAAAAAATTTTAAAATAAAGTTGAAGCCAGGCGTGGTAGCGCATGCCTGTAATCCCAGCACTCGGGAGGCTGAAGCAGGAGGATCACTGTGAGTTCGAGACCAACCTGGGCTACACAGTGAGTTCCAGAGCAGTCTGGACTACATAGTGAGACCCTGTCTCAAAAAAAAAACAAAAATAAATAAATAAATAAAGTTGAATAACTCACACGTCCCAATTTCAAAACTTACTACAAAGATGTAGTAATTGTCATTATTAAATGAACTGTTAGTCCAGAAACAAACCCTTACACTTAAGATCAACTGATTTTAAGAGTGTGATGGCTATCAGTGAAGAAATAATCTTTTAAACCATTGATTATGTGAAAGCTGTATTTCCACACATAAAAAGAATAAATTTGGACAAAAGAACTACATGTCGGCACTAATACTACAAAACTTTTATAAGGAAATGAATCTTACAGATAGATACTAAGTTAAGCAATGGTAACAGATTTGGAACCAAAAGCATAACAACCAAAGAAGAATGGACAAACAAGGTTATTACTAAATTAGATACTTCTCTGCTTCAAAGAATACTACCTTATCAATAAAGGGAAGATACAAGTCACACAACAGTGTAAGTTATTTGTATATCATTTACCTGACAAAGAATTTATATTCAGAATATAAAAAGAACTCTTACAACTCAATAAAAAAATGAAAATCCAATTTAAAAGTGCAAAAAGGATTTAAACATTTTCTGAAGATTTAAAAATAACCAATGAGTACATGAGAAGATGTTCAATATCAATAGTCATCAGAAAATTGCAAATCACAACTCCAAGGAGATACTACTTGCTACCCACTAACATGGGTAGAATCAAAAAGACAGCTAAGGAGCTGGGGATTTAACTCAGTGGTTCCGCCTCCTTCCTCACAAGCACAAGGTCCTGAGTTCAATCCCGGATGCAAAACAAAAAAAGGCAGCTAAGTTTTCAAGGACTTGGAAAAAATAGAACCTTCACAAGAATCAATGTAAAATGATGTACTCAGGTTGGAGAGCATTCTAACAATTCATCAAATGTTAAAGACTGGGTTAACCTATAACCCAGTTACTCCACTGCTTAGTATACATTCCCAAGAGAAGTGAAAACAGATGTATAAAAACAAGTACTGTGAATATAATATACCTTGAAATCAATTGTATGTGGGACAATTTTTTTACCTGAATATGTATTTTTTGTTTTATTTGTCCAGTTCCTACTTTACACTATCTTCCCTCTTCACTATTTTTCTCCACATATTGAAACAAATCATCCTATGCCTTTCCTCAACATAAGCAATTCAATTTTCAGCTTTAAAAAAAAAAAAATCCTCAACTCACACAGGTGCATTTTATGTCTGTTTAATTAGCCTGAAAACCTATTTTCAATATCATTCTGCTGGGCATGGTGGCACATGCCTGTTATCCCAGCACTCAGGAGGCTGAGGCAGGAGGATCGCTATGAGTTTGGGAACAGCCTGGGCTACATAGTGAGTTCCAGGTCAGTCTGAGCTGCATAGTGAGACTCTGTCTAAAAAATATGTATCACTTTGGTAGACCAACATATAAAGACAAAGATTAATGTGTTGATAGATTTTAAAAATGAAATGTCTACCAAACTGATGAGTTATTTTGGTTCTCATTTTCTTTGCTTTTTTATTTGAGAATTTATGAAATCTGTATATATGAGTAGTATGAAAAGTATTAAGGTCCGTCCATCATTCTCCTCTCTCACTTTTGCCTTCTGCAAACTTTCTTTTCTGTCACTACAGCTTGTTTGGCTGGAAATTTGTTAAGACAAATCTTGTTATGTTATCAATATATCTTTGTACCTACTTTCTACTGATAACAAATATTAATTTTTAAGTAAATTTTATCATAACTATACTTAAATGGATAATAAATCATTAATATCATTCAGTATCTGGTACATACTACAAATTCTCCAACTGCCTCAAAGATGGTATTTGTTTTTCTCAAATCACACAAATCACAAACATTCCACACATCACTGCACTGTTTTATTATACCAAAGTATATAGTGTATTGTAGAAAATATGCATTGTGTATATGTGTGTGGGTATGTTTCTACACGTGTGCACTATTAAATGAAAAACATGGTCATGAATGTGGTAGGATTTTGCACATTTGGCATATCAATAGTTTCTCAGGCAACCTTATGATTTCTCTAAATTAGATGCTTGATTTAATTCATACCATTTGTTTGAGAAGAATATTATGTATGTATTGGTGTTAAATTCTATCATTATGCTTACAAAAATATATAATAAAAATAAGTATGGTATATAATAAAAAGAAACAGAAAAATCAGATTTTAAAAATGTGAACTCTTAGTTGTTTTTGGATTTCAAATATATTTCTTTTCTGTGGGAAGTTCTGTTAGAAAATGTAAGTGATTCAATCAACAAGCTTATGATATTTATCAAATTAATAAAACTAAGGAGTTTATAAATCATAAAATTTTGAGGACAGTTTCTCAACTCTAATATGTAACTTTGTTTTATTTGTAAATACAGTATTTAAAAAATACACGAAAAGAAAATGAGAAAGAACATATAATGTTTGAATATCATATCAAACTAATAATGTATTTGGATTATCAGTCTGTGTTGCATAAATTTTTGTTTACTTCATATCCTTTTTTGCTGTCATATATATGCATATTTGAAATTTTTATTTAATATCTTCATTTGTTGTCATGTATGTTTGCAATCTTTAATAAAAAAAATATATATATCACTCTGATACTTTGGAATGTTGATCTGTGCTACTGTTTTACTTGATTAATGCAAGTGCTCTACCACTGTCTCAAACTCAGATTCATGTTCTTAAACTTTTCTATACCACAAATTTCTCAAATAATTTCCCCCTTCTTAGAGAATCTTCTCCATGAACACAGTAGTTCTTTTTGAATACCTGTGACTTTCTTATATCCTTCTATATAATGACTTTCAGATCATTAAATATTTTAAACATACAAGTATAAGAATATACTGAAAACTTGAGACTGATAATTCAGATTAAAAAATAAAGCCCTGTGAGAAAAACAAAACAAAAGCAAAAAACAAAATAAAGCCCTGTGAAGAATCCCCCTTCCTGATTGCATTCTAACTAAAAGCATTAGACTCCAAGATGTCCTTAATAATAATAATAATAATAATAATAATAATAATAATTTAAAATAGGTATCAGGATTATATTTGTAGATTTAAGAAGAAAACAGTCTTAATGAGTTAACGGGGTAGAAATCTAAGGAGAGCAAAGGAAACTATACCAAGGAAACAAATGGATATTGTGGAATTGAAAAATAATTTCTGAATTGAAAACTTCACTGGAGACTGGAAACAAAATAATAAAGTCAGGAAAGCAAAAATTATTCAATGTAAAGAAGACAGAGGGCAAAACAGAAGAAAAACGAGAGTCTAAGCAACCTGTGAACTACCATGTAATTCAATACATAAAGGTTTCAGAAGGAAAGGAGAAATTGTAACAGAAAAAGTTTTGGAAAAAAAGGCCAAATTTTCCTTTAAGTTGATGACAAACAACGAAACAGAGATGTAACAAAACCTAAATACACACACACACACACACACACACACACACACACACACACACCATCATCACCATCATCACCATCATCATCATCATCATCTAGATGAGTCAAATTGCTGAAACAAAAAAATTTAAAAATAGATGTGAAATAGGAAGAAAACATGTAAAGGGGAAGCGGAAGAGGCAGGGGAAAAGAAAGAAGGGAATGGAATTAATATGAAAAAAATAGAAACAAAATCTTTGTGGATAGGGATGGGCAAAGGCATTGAAGGGAGGGCAGGAGAATGGGAAAAAACTTAAGAACCAAGATGGATTATGTAAAGGTGCAAATTTCCAATGATGACTGTCATTACATTGTATATTTTAAATGTACCAATAAAATTAATTAATTAAAAAAGACATAGTATGATCAGGAATTACATAAATAGCAAGCCCAACATGGCAGCCTCAGGCTCTGAAGGCTGAGAAGGCAGCTGCAGAAACATCAATGTTACTTTCAAAGATCAACAAAAGATAAACAAATTTGTGCAGAACACGAGTAGACTCACAGTGCTAAAGGAAGAAATAGAAGTTAAAAAAAAAAAAACTCCAGAATTTAGAAAATACTTGTAATGACACCATGCTAGCAGATGATGACAGCTTAATGATATCTTACCAGATTGGTGACATTTTCAGTAGCCATTCTCAAGAAGAAACACAAGAAATGTTAAAAGAAGAAAAGAAAAATTTGCAAAAAGAAACTGATGCCTTAGAATCCAGACTAGAATCAATTCAGTGGGTGTTAGCAGATTTGAAAGTTCAGTTATATGCAAAATTTGGTGGCAACATAAATCTTGAAGCTGATGAAAGTAAAACATTTTATAATATCTTTTTTAATTTGTTTAATAAACTTGAATATTGTTTAAAATAACAATTTCCCTTCTTCAAATGACATGGAAAGGAAAACTTTTTTTAAGTTTTCATTTATTTAGTGGGAACTTGCCTATTTTCATGTCTTGATTCTTCTATATCTTTACAAGACTGTACTCATCTATGTATTTTGCATAATGATTATATCAATTCTAGGGTCTTTTTGTCATGTTATTAAAATCAATGAAATAAAACAAAAAAATTAAAAGAAAATTTGAAAGCAGCCAAACGAAACAACAAAGGCACATTACATACGAGGCCATGATAGCAGAACAAAACTGAGTTGATCCCCACAAAGAAGAACCACACATACACAAAAAAAAGTGTTAAAAGGCCGATTGTTCCAAAAGAAGTTATATACATGTATTTACGAAAAAAAATCTACATCACAAATATTACCCTAAAAATGAAAACACAGTCACAAAATTACGTGAAGAATGTATATATCGAAGTTTCTCAAAATAGCTAACAGTACAAAAGCTTTATATTTGCCAGAAAAAGAATAATAAATACATTATATACACAAATGTATACACTACAGAATACAACTGATCAAATTACTGTTGCATTGAACATAGCAGAATATGGAAATCATTACGCTATATAACCAAAACACAAAAGAATGTATACTATATAATCCCCTTTGTGTAAAATTTCTAGGAATGGCAAAACTAATTTATAGCAGCAAATCTTGAAAGTGGTTACAAAACGAGATGGGAAAAAGTACATACAGTAAGAACAAATGTTCAGATAGAAAATTTTCCCAATACTTTCACTTTTAATCTCTTTGTGTTCATGACTTAAGTTTGTCTATAATAAACATTCCTATAGCAAAATCCTGTTCATGTCTTAGTTTCACACTTTTTTACCGTTCTGTTTAGTCCATTTCAATTTATTGGTATGACTGAAATATCTGGAATTTTGTGCCATTTTATTTTATGCTTTGTATTTACTCTGTATGTTTTTACATGACCTTCTTACTGAATTATTTTCTTTAATCTCTTATGTCTTTTTTTCCTCTTTGGAAGATATATACACTTTCTGTTCATTTCTCATTAAACTTTAAAGCATTCATGAATTATAAATTAATTATGTCTTTGCCTTGATACAGAGAACTTTCGTAAATAATCTAAAAACCTACAAAATGTTAGGAAAATGTAAAATGACTTCTGTCTCTAACAGTAATCTGCTTTGTTTAGTTCAAAATTAACAGACACCGGAGGCACTGACATCTGGGACATCTGGCCTCATCCCTAACTTGAACACCCGCTTCCTGTGCACTAGGCTAGCTAGAGGAATCTTAAGGTAAACTCCCCAACTGCAAAGAACTGTTATGTATGAGTTAAAGTTAACTATCCCGTGACCATGATGTGAACTATGAGAATGAAACGTAATCATCCATATGAAGCCAAGGCTGTAAAACCCTATAAAAGGAGGAGTTGTAACCCAGTGTGTGGTCAATCCAGGCACTGTTTATGTGCAATCAACCCTCTTCAATGAGTAAATTTGTTATTTTACTTCCATTCTGCTGCCTCTCTGTGTATCACTTGCAAATTCCTTCTGCAACATCCTGGGGAGTATAGAATCTTCAAATGCTTTAATTCTAGGCATCCTCTTCCAATAGCAATGCTACTATTACCCAGTATTTATTCTATTTTTTCCCATTAACCAAGCAAGTTAGAGAATACTACTATTAAGTTTTATAAAGTAATTGCTATTTAGTTATTTATATATATATATCTATATATATCTATATATAGATATAGATATATATTAACCAGTTTATTACATCTGAAAATGTTTTTAGTGGGTTTAGCTTCCCTTTCTCAACTAACTCATAACTTCTTTTAGTGGAGACCTATTCAGATTACTATGTAGCTTTATTTATTGCTGTCATTCATATTTTCCTGGTAAAACTTTGTCTATGCTTTTATTTTCATCATTTTAAGAAACTATTTAATTAGATACTATTTAATTAAACTCTTAGAAAATTCATTTTGAGAGTTTCAATTCTTTCTCTTTTTTTGGTACCAGAGATCAAACCCAGGACCTTGTGTTTGCGAGGCAGGTGTGGTGCCACTGAGCTAAATCCCCAGCCCTCATTTTGAGAGTTTAATGGTAAACTTAAGCTATTACTATTAATTTGTTTCTGGCATTTATTTCATGTTTTTCATTTATTTTACTCTTTAAATTCATTTATTTCCTTCTTGGTTTTCTTTTGCTAAAAGTTTCTTATTCTATTTTAAAGGAAAAAACTCTTAAATATTTTTATTGAGCTTAAATTTTCTTAAGAGTAAAGCACTTGTTTTCAGTATACAGTTGGACTAAATTTGTTTTTTTTTTCAGCTTTGAGTTTATTGGTACATTTTAGGGATACAGTACAGTCACATTCATTGTTGGGATCTTGTACCTCTACATGACAAGTCTTGATTCTCATTTTTTCCCCTTACCCCTGCCCTCCCTTCACCCCCTCCTCCCCTCCCCATCTACACTTTATTTCCATCTTTTCATTATCTCACATTTTTTTCTTTTCCCTTATTACCCTTCCCCTACCCATCCCACCTTCCCAAGACCTTTAGCTCCTTTCTTCCCATTTCTAAATGTCAGTAATCTTATTAGGATCTTATGTATTATTGCAGATTATTCACACCAGAGAAACTACTTGGTATTTACACGTGTGACTTATCAGTTGGACTAAATTTTAAAAATGCATTCACCACATGTTATGTATTATTGCAGATTATTCACACCAGAGAAACTACTTGGTATTTACACATGTGTGACTTATCAGTTGGACTAAATTTTAAAAATGCATTCACCACATACCCTCCACCAAAAGACACACAACATTTCCAACATTCTCAAAAGGTTCTTCAGGTTCTTTCTGTGCAATCCCCCACCAGCACCCCAAAGTTAAGGCTATGACCAATATGCTGTCCACATTGATTGATTCTATTGATTCTATTATCTAGAATTTGACATAAATTGACTAAGAGCAGCCCTCTTCTGTGTAGGGCTTCACTCAGCAGTAACATTTCAGAGATGCATCTCCAAAACTCTTTGTGTGAATATGCTTTCATGTTTCTCAGCAAAGTACCTGGAATTGCAAGTCTATGGGATATGTAGGAAAAATATATTCCCTCTTCTAAAAAGTAACAAAATGCTTTTCAAACAACCAATACCATCTTACACTGTTCAACATCCTTGTCATTATCATTAAAAACTTCTTACATTCAAACACACAGACAGCGTTAATGCAATCTCACTGTGATTATAAATTTCAATTCCCTAAATACTAATGAATTTGGACATTTTTCATGAGCCTATGGATCATGTACACATCTTTTTTGGAAGTTTATGTTCACATCTCTTGCTCAGATTTTTTAAATCTTATGCAAGGTTTTGGTGTGTGTTTGGCATACTGAGGATTGAACATGGAGCCTTCAAACTAAGCTACATCCCAGATCACTTTTTATTTTTGAGAAAGAATCTCACTGAGTCATTAAGTTACCCGGGCTGGACCTGGACTGTAACCCTGAAATGTAATGCCTCCACAAGTGCTGGGTTTACAGGCGTGCACTGCTTCACCCAGCTCAAGAGTTCTTTTTATTTCTGTTTACAAATCTATTATGAAGTAACATAATTAAAAAATACAGTTTCCCAGATTGTGACATGGTTTCTGTCAACTTTAATATCATTTAAAAAGAGTAAGTTTCAATTTGGTGAGCTCTAATTTCAAATTTTTTCCTTTTATACTTCATGCTCATTTGTCCCATCAAAGAAATCCTTTCCTAGCTCAAGATTGCAAAGATTTCTTTCAGGTTTCCTTCTACAAATTTAATAGTTGTGATCCTCATCAAGAGCTGTATGACCCACTTCAAGTTATTTTTATATATGATATAAAAGTCCAAGTTCTCTAGTAACAAATAAATGTTGGTCAGCTCCATTCATTTAAAATACTATCATTTATCCTACTGAATTATCTCAGCACCTTTGTAGAAAATTAATTGATCACATATGTGTAGGTGCATTTCTGTACTATTTGGGTTCACTGATCTGCTGATTCTTACATCAAGAACAATATTATATCATGATATTTTAGTCTTGAAACCATGTGAGTTCTCTTGCCTTTTTCTTCTTTTTTTCAGAATTGTTTTGGTCATTCTAGGTATCTTTTGTTTCTATACAAATTTCAGAGGTAAGTTGTGAAATTTCTACCAAAAAACCTGCTGTACTATTCATTGGGATTGGAATTTATTATCTGAGGAAGAACAGTTGTCCCATACAAAATATGTATACAATAATAGACATCTCTCTTCATTGTACTTCTTTAATCTCTTAGTATACAAGTTCTACCCACCATTAAACTTACTTTTATTTCTTGTTTATGTTGTGTTAGTCATCTACTGCATATTAAGTTACTGCAAACCCCAGCAATTTAAAACAATTACCATCACAGAGACTCTATAGTAGTAAGAATTCAGGAGGAATTGTTTACTGAAAAGATTCTAACTCAAGATCCTTCAAGAAACTGTATTCAAGATGCAAGCTGCAGTCATCTGGACTATATTTTGAAAGAGCTGTGAAGAACTGCTAACTTTTCCTTTCTTAATTTTTTTAAACCCACTCCTGAACCTATCTGAGCCTGCAGATACTTGTGTGTGGCTAAGATTTTAATTATGAATTCAATATCAACAGATATACAACTTCCTGGCACAGAGAACAGTAGGGCAAATGCCTTGTGTTGGAAAGTAGCACAGCACCTGGGCCAGCCAGAAAGAGGATCAGAGTATCTGCAGGGATGGGAAGCTTGGGAGACCAAAGGATTTGGTGATAAGCAAGGCTTTGAAGGCAAAGTCAGAGCATAGCACTTATTCTTAATAACAGTGAGCTCCTGATATTTCTTCAAGTATGTTTTGTCCTCTACAGTATAACAAATACTTTTTTAGAAGAGGAAAAAACTCTCAAGTGTCAGGATCTAATTTTTCTTTAGAATTCACACTGGAGCTTTCAGATGACCTAAGGCAAGGATCAGCAACTTTTCAAACCAAGGTGCTAAGCTCACATTTCTCACTATAGTGACCTGCAAAGAAGGACCAAGCCTTATAAAGAACAAAATGAGAGGGCCAGGGATTTAGGTCAGTGGTTCCACTGCCTGTCTTCACAAACATAAGGTCCCAAGTTCAATCCCTGGTACCAAAACAAAAAACAAAAAACCCAAGAACAAAATGGGAGCTGGAATTCTTCAGAATATCAGATGAGCTGTGTCCTCTCCAGAGGGTCTTTCTCCCACCTACTGGCTGGGAACTATAGTTAGCCTCCTTCCTCATCTCAGTTTTCAAGTCTTGTATAATAAATTTACTTTGCTCTTTAATTTTCAATGGGTTTAGAGGATCATTCAGTCAATGTCTAAATAACAAAAGTTCCCAACTCAAAAAAAAAGATATATAACTATTCAGGTTTCTGTTTTTTGTGTTCATTTTGATACTGTTGACAATCAAGGCATTTATCCATTTCACATTGGTTGTTACAGTATGCTTGTTATGATAAATGTCTCATATATTGGCACAAATGTTCATTAATTTCCCCTTCAAGCTGTTTGATGTTTAGAGACCATATACTTATGTCTACTGTCTTATTCCAAATAATATATCTTCTTATATACAGTGTTGATCAGAATGTCTAGAACTGTAGT